CATTTTTAGTTTTCTTATGGAAATGACTTTACAGAAAACTGGCCGTAAGATTGCATCACATGAATTTGCAAGTCAGTGAACAGATTCGTTTTGAACAGCAGCTGCTGGAGATATTTGAACGATTTTATGAATCATACAATCCAAAAGAGCATTGGAAGACAATGCTTGATATGGAACGCGATTTTGGTATGTTTAATAACATATGTTTATTTAGAAAGGTTTAGCTGCAGCTGTGCTATTGAAATGATTGTTTGCAGAAGAAGGAGACTCAGAAGCAATCATTCAGCAAAAGAGAATTGAAAGGCTTCGATGTGTTCTTATGCTGCCGCCGGGTAAGTTGGCTCCGGAGAAGAAACCGGATTTTGGAGAACACTGTGGCACGGTTATCAACTGTCCCGATGAAGTAGATATGAATAGGCATATGCTGGTAGGAGTATTATGCGCTTATATTTCCTAGCCATCTATCATCTTGACCAAACATCTTGTTGTTTAGGGTATCTCACCATTTTGGAGAGGCCCTATGGTCAAAAGTAATTCAAAAGGCTTCTATCTGACTCGAACGGGTAAAAGAATGCATGATAGGTATGATTTTAATCTGATCTCTAGCAGTTGAAAATCACACCGTTTTTCTTTTAGAGATGAATCTTATAAACCTCTTGACGAGAATAAAAGAGAATACTACCTCGAAGATCTAGTCGACTATAGAGAACCAACGAGGTTGCGGAGAGATTTCTCCACCATGGAACGGATCTGGTCACAACTACAAAATCTGTATGTTATGTCGTAGATGAAAACAGAATCGAGCTAGCGTTTAACTCCTATTATTCTTTAGGGAAATATGTTTTAACGATCCTGTTGTCAAAAAAGAGCCTAATAGGGGTAACTGGATGTCCAGAAGGAAGTTGGCGCGATTATCCGATGAAGATGTTGTTTATCTTGGATCAGTGCAAACGGATGTTTTGAAAATGCCAGGTTAGTGTTATGGGAACATTTTTGGAAATTAACAGAATCTGTAGTATGTGATTGCTCATTGCTTCTCTCTACAGAGCAAAAAGAAGCAGAAAATCACCTAGAGGAAACCAAGGAATTTCTCAACAAAGGCGCTTCAACGCGCGAAATCCTGGCAACTGCTTTCAAAGCAATCCGTCAAACTACGATGATGATGATCCAGACAAGGTTTGTCTGATTTCATATGTTGAAATCGTCTTTGTGAATGGTTTTCCTGCATTTACTTCTTGTTTTACTCACTTGAGCTAATTTTCTTGTTGCCTCTTGTTTTTTTTTTCGCTTTTAAAAAGGATGAAAATTTTCACACTTTTGTATTTTTTAATAGACGCACAATTACG